GTTTGAACAGGGAAAACCACTAACCTAAATGCCAGATTAATTGCAATGAACTAAATTGTATCATGTAAGTGTAAATAATCATGGTTAATATCTAGGATACCTGCAACATTACAGGTAATGTCAAAATCACATTGAGAAATATCTTTAAGATTTTTGAACAGCATGAATAGATCAACTCTGACACATTAATATGGTAACATAAAAAGTAAAAGTGAAAACGCACTTTTCAAACAAAAATGGTTGTTGCATTTTTAAGTTTGATAATGAACCAGGCTACACTTTCATGTTACTATCCAACAGCACTCTCATCATAGAAAGGTTAAGGTTGGAAGGGACCTTAAAGATCGTCAGGTTCCAACCTCCCTGCTATGAGCAGGGACACCTCACACTAGACCAGGCTGCACAAAGCCTCATTCAACCTGACTGTAAACACCTCCAGGGAGAGGGGTTCCAAAACCCCCCTAGGCAACCTATTCCAGTGCCTTACTACCCCAGGGTGAAGAATTTCTTCCTGATGTCTAACTTAAGTCTCTCAGTTTAAAACCATTACCCCTTGAACTATCACTGCCCTCTCTGGTGGAAAGCCCCTCCCCAGCTTTCCTGTAGCCCTTTCAGTTACTGGAAGGCGGCTGTAAGGTCTCCCCAAAGCCTGTTCTTCTCCAGGCTGAACAGCCCAAACTCTCTCAGCCTGTCTTCAAAGCAGAGGTGCTCCAGCCCTCATGGCCCTTCTCTGGTCCCTCTCCAACAACTGATGGACACAGTACTGCAGGTGTGGCCCCACCAGAGCAGAGCAGAGGGGCAGAATCACCTCCCTGACCCTGCTGGCCACACTTCTTTTGATGCTGCCCAGGATGTGTTTGGTTCTCTGGGCTGCGAGCACACACTGGCAACTCATGTCAAGCCCGTAATCAACTACCAGCCCCAAGTCCATTTCCTCAGGACTGCTCTCCAGCCATTCCAACCCCCAGCCTGTATTTGTGCCTGGGGGAGTGCCGACCCAGGTGCAGGACAGTGTGGCATCAATACACAATTATTGCACAACAAGCCTGTGAAAAATTAAATTATTTGCGGTACAATCTTAAAAATAGTGAGCATTTGCTCATTAATGCAAAACCTCCAACTCAAGACAAACCTAAACAACCCCAAACAACAAGAGTACTTTGGAAACCAAACATTCAAATACATTATTTTTTTGTTACTAAGCTATTCATCACAAAGGAGTACTGAATATGGAGAATTGTAGAAGTTACTGCTCAACTCCAAACCACACAAATAGAATTTCAGAAAAATGCAAAGGCAAACATTCCCAGCTACTGACATGTTGGGTATGGGACAAGGTATTAAACAATGGTCTTGGTAATAATGTCAAATGACTTTGCCTAGTTAAAGAACTTTTTTTAAACATTTAAAACATTGTTAGCACTGGATTAAAAGCCTAAACTATGAAAGAGTTTCATATTGTTCCTTAGTGCATATAAAACCTAGCTTTTAAATTTTTAGTTTTGCGGGTTTTTTTAATGCAGAAGTGTTTTTGAAACATGTAACTCATCTTAACCACTGATACATGGGCATTCTTAAATGGACTTTTCGTTATATTAAAGTACAGGCACTGTAAGTGTTCCCAAATTATAGCACAGTACAATAAACTCTAAAACTAATGGGTGAAAAGGATCTGTTTTAATTCTATTAAGGCTGAAGTGGTTGAGTTTCTTTTGCTGTGGTTTGTTTTGTTTTTAAATAAACATGATGAGGATAATTCTGTACTCTCTTTTACAGAAACGAGAGGTTTTCATTACTTTTTTGGCCTTTAACACTTTCATTTCCCTAGGCTTTTACAACAAAGTAACTTCAAGTGATCTTCAGGGGTATTCCATTTTCAGCAAGATGGCTACCAGTATGTGTGATGACCTGAAACCTGAAGGCTTTATTTATAGCCATTAATGAAACAAAAGCATGATATGGGCTTCCAGGATGATCTGCTTTCCACGTGTTATTGCTCATGCGCAACAATACGCTTGTCTGCATCTCTTACAGAAGCATTTCCAAACACTGCAGCTCACAGAACCCCAGCGTGAGGTATAACTGTTACTCCACAGGGTATAATCAAGGTGCAGTTCTGCTCCAGCCAGCTGAGCCAAACTTGTTTGCTATGTGCCTTCACTTAAGCAATGGACCAGGGCTGGAGCTCCTGGCTGCCACTGTGCTGAGGATGATGATGGCTGAACTGTCGGTATCAAACTGTGACATTAATGCTTGTTTCATGCAGTCTGGAAACAAAATCAATTTCTACAACAGAAGTCATAAAAGCCTAAATGTAATTGCTATTTCAAAACAAATGAATCTGAAGGATGCAAACACTTTCTCATTCTAAAATGGCAGATAATTTTAATTTTGGGTAATTTTACAGGTCAAACATTTTCACCATATCAAATTTTACCTATGCAAATACTCCTGACAGCTGAGAAAGCACAATCCAAACTATTTTACAACAAAGCTCTAAGCTACTAAAAACACAAATAAAAAGCTGTATGAATTGCTAGCAATGTACAGAACATCTTAAATGGAAAACAATTAATAAGACATTGAACCTCAGTGAAACCTCACAAGCCTGTTCTTGTACTTGATATCTTAATTTTAAAACACAAGGGGTAAGAAGAGTTGTGGAGGCAAGTACACCTTGCAGAGAAGAGCTTAGAATCTATTATTGCCAAAAGTTCCTGAAGGAACCTGATGAGCAGCAAATGTTTTTACTGTGGTGCAGGTTTTATTCCAGATGAAAAACTTCAGAGTAGGAAAAAAAAAATAAGGTTGCTCTTATATCTGGAAAGCTAGACACACCAAGATTCAACTTCTAAGCATTAGAAGTTTTATGTTCAGTAAAGGAAAGAGAGCTGTACTGCAGGAGTGTTCTTTGGATATTATCCAGCAGGTGAACTGCTATCAGTGAACTGCTATGAATTTCTACAAAACACTGCAAATAACAGAAGAAATACAGTAGCATCTACAAGCCTGTAGAAATACAATAACTGTACTCCACTCACACTACTTAGAAGCAGCGAATCAGAAGTTAACTGATCTAAAAGTAGATCCTCAAGTAACACCATAGTGAAAACCTGTATCCCCTGCAGAAACACTGAACTAAAGCAGGCCATAAAGGCAAATTTTGATACTGTATCAGTATTGGCATCTCATGTATTTAACATTA